GGCCAACTTCAGGTTGCTGCACATTTTGGTGTGTATATTCGGACAATTCAACGTCTTGTCCAACGTGTGCGAGTGACGGGGAGGGTCATCGGTTTATAAGATTTTTTCACTTACGTAATCGCCATCTCACAGCTACCGAAACTGCAAATAACACTATAGGCAGTCATAACCGCCATATTCATCCTGATACGGTTCGAAACCGATTACGCGTCAATGGCATAAGAGCCCGACGTCCCTATGTTGGTCTGCCCCTAACTCCTGCGCGTCGCCAACGCCGATTGGCTTGGTTACAAGCACACTCGCCCAGAAATTTTCCTATGAGGCAATGGAAACGGGTATTCTTTACTGACAAATCTCGGTTCACTCTCTACCGTTCGGACGGGCGACGTCGTGTATATCGACGTCGAGGGGAACGTTACATATATATACAGTATATATCATGTATAACAGAAAAATACCAGAAAGACAGTGACTTTCAGATCATTAAAAAAAACAACAAAAAACAAAAACACAATCTATATCTGTTGTCTATATATACTTAACTTATATGTGTATATTTACCGATACCTCCGGAAACCAGTTGGTCTATTATTGGTACATAAAATGTAGTACTAAAGGCACGCATGTGGTCTTGTTTCTCAGGAAATTTCCGTATGCCTTTTGCTTTCTTTTGTTTTTTTGCTATTATTTTTGTTATTTGTTTTTTTTTTTTAATTTTTTGTCTTCCCCTATCTGATTGTTACAAACACGGTGGTATCTATCATGAATACATGCAAGTATTCATGTATGGGTGTGTACACTCCTTATCATCTATATATTTCCAGTTTCAGCGCCTATTAAAACTCAATGATTACCTGGTCTTCCCCCTCCTCTCTCTCTCTCAGTTATTGTTTTTACACCCCATTCTTCCCCTGCCCTCCCCCCCCCCCGTGTTCTAAGCGTGCCTCTGACTATGTCTTTTATCATGACCACGACACCTTCTCGAACACTTACTTATCCTCTGTTCCGGTCTGGAATCACATAATGCCTATTGATGTTTTTCTCTATCGTGTTCAAATAGGTGTTTTTTTCATTTTATGACCGTTCCCGACATGTTGTGTATTGCACTACTTTTATTGTTATTATTTTATTATTTATGCCATTATGTTCTATGTAAATGTAGGTATTTCACCAACCAGAGAGTGGCTGCGCTCCTTTTATCTCTTCTAACGGTTATTCTTACTCTTATTCTATTATACCATGCAATGATCTGTTGGTGTTTGTCAGGAGATGTTCAGCTAAATTCCCACCACGCCTGCCTCTCTTTCGCCATCCAATTAAATGTTTCAAGCATCGTCTTTTGCGGTGACAGACATTTATATATCCATTCTATCGCCAAATATCTCAAATACAAACCCGATATTCATTATGTAAGTGAAAATGTATTGTCCTCATCCATGATAATTGCTTCCGATTTTTTGTCACTATCTCTAGGCTGTGCACTGGACTATTGGCATTTACTTTTACCTGGAGATATAGAGTTGAATCCGGTCCCATGTCTTCTAGCTCGTCTTCCTCATCTATACTTTCCGATATTAGTATTCAGACTGATGTAAAATGTAATTTTTTATTTGTCCATTTAAATGTGCAAAGTATCAAACAAAAACTCGATGTTCTTTACATCGAGTTAAGTAATATAACAACTTTATCCTTTACTGAGACGTTGCTGAGTTTAAGTGAAATCTCAACTGACCTAAACTTACCTGGGTACTCAGACCCCTTCTTCTATTGTAGACCTGATAGAATGGGCGGTGGTATAGCAGTTTATGTACAGAATGATATATCTGCAAAGAGAAGATCAGACTTAGAGATAGCAACCATTGAAAGTGTCTGGTTAGAAATTGTATTAGGTTCAGAAAAAAATATCATATGGTACTTTTTATCGGCCCCCAAACTCCCCTGTTATCACATAGTCTCATATCTCGCATTCTATAGAAAACAGTTATAATATAACAGGTATAATACAGGTATTTCTCATACTGTAATAACTGGGGATTTTAATGCAAATGTTCTCGTTGATCACCTTTCTTCCCACGCGATATAATTGTTTCTTTCAATTTAACCCAACTTATCGTTTCATCAACTTTTTATACGGAAGCCTCCGAGTCATTGTTAGATATAGTCTGCACTAGTAGTAATAACCTTATTCATAAATGCTATGTTGGAGAAAGTTTCCTTGACCAACCTGTTAGATACCATTGTCCAATTCATTGCTTTTTTAATATTAAAAAACCAGTGCAGCAGATGTAAGAGAAATGTCTGGCTTTTTGACTTGGGAAATTATGATTTAATTAGAGAAAATAAAATAAATAAATTGGAATTTTTTGAATGATTTTGTTGATATGCTGTTAAATATGTCTTAGACATCCTACTTGATACTGCTAGATTATGTATTCCTAATAAAGTCATAAAAATTAGATCAAATGAACCCATTGGTTAACTAATAAAATAAGAAGATTAATTCGTAAACGTGCCCATAGAAAAGCCAAGCGTACCCATGCTGATGCTCACTGGGCTAAGTTCCGCCAACTTCGAAACAGTTATGTTAACACCATTAAGAACGCCAAATTAACTTATTTTTCTAATCTGTGTAGCGAACTTCGCAAACCCTCTAACATTAGTACTAAACAATGTTGGAATATTGTAAAGAAACTTCTACCCAACTCTGGTAAATTTTGTATACCACCATTGCTTCATAATGATAGTATTGTTTCAGATGACCTTGAAAAAGCTTGTTTATTCAATGATTTCTTTTGTGCCCAGTCTACAGTCGATGATTCAAATGTAAATCTTCCTAACATTGCCGATGTCTGTAATTCCTCCTTATCTGATATCAATATCACATCTAATGAAGTCCGAGATGCTATTCTTACCATGGACTGTTCCAAGGCCATTGGCCCTGACCTAGTAAATCCTCGTCTTCTGAAAGAATCGGTTAATATTTTATGTTTCCCGTTTAGTAAACTGTTTAATATGTCAATTACATCAGAAGTATTCCCATCTATATGGAAATCTGCTAATGTCACTCCTGTACACAAAAAAGACAACAAGTCAAAATTAACTAACTACAGACCAATATTAATGGAAAGACGTGTTTTCAAATATCTTTACAATTTCTTGCACACTCACTCCCTCCTACCGCTCTCCAGTCTGGGTTTAGGCCTGGCGACTCAACAACCAATCAACTTCTTGCGATCATTGATGATATATATTTAGCTTTAGATAATGGTAAGGAAATACGTTTGGTCTTTTGTGATATTAGTAAAGCTTTCGATCGTGTTTGGCATAAAGGTCTCATTTGTAAATTATCTAGCTTCGGAATTCGAAATTCGCTCTTAATTTGGTTTGAAAATTATCTTTCTAATCGTAAACAGAGAGTTATCATAAATGGCAAAAATTCTAATTGGTTAAATGTAAATGCTGGTGTCCCTCAGGGATCAATTATTGGACCTCTTTTATTCTTGATATATATATCAATGATAGTGTTAAAGATATTGAAGCTAAAATAAAGTTGTTTGCTGATGACACCTCTCTCTACGTGACTGTTGATATTCCTAGACTCAGTGCAGAGCTCCTCAATAGAGACCTAAATAGAATTCATAACTGGTCTCAAAGATGGTTGGTAAATTTTAATCCTGCTAAATCAGAAACCCAGCTTGTTAGTAGAAAAACCATTAAGCCTATTCACCCTCCTTTAAATATGAACAATGCTAACATCTCTGACGTGACCTCACACAAGCATTTAGGTGATTTTTCTTTCTAGTACTGGTCAGTGGAATGAACAAGACCTCGCCGAAAATAAATATCTTACGTAAATTTAAATTTTCTTTAGACAGATCTAGTCTTCAAACTATCTTTACTCTTATTCGACCCATATTAGATTATGGCGATATAGTATAGGACAGCCTAAATAAAGCTCAGTCTGAGCTGCTAGAAAATCTTCAACTAGAGCTTCCCCTCCAGGAAAGACGAAAACATCACAAACTGATTCTTTTCCACAAAATGGTCCATGGTTTTGCCCCCCGCTATCTTCTTGATATTCTTCCTCATCGAAGCAGAAATTTTCATAATCATGATACTCGCACTGGTAATAACCTTCGTCCACCTTTCTGTCATACAAGTCTCTATAATGTCTCTTTTTTGCCATCTGTCATTAATTTATGGAATTCCTTACCCGAACATGTTAAGAATAACTCTTCTATTAATATACTTAAAACCTATCCTCAAAGTTCCGACATTCTACTTTTAACGGTACCAGATTGGGACAGATACATCACGCCAGACTAAGAATGGTATGTAGTTCTCGTAAGTTCTATCTATACCAAAGAAATCTTATTGATAGTCCTCTCTGTTCATGTATGCAATCTTACGAAACTAATGAACATTATCTTTTCTCTCATCTCCGTTTACGTTTATTTAATGAAATCAACCATCCACTCTCCATCGATCTACTATTGTTTGGGAATGATAATCTTACAGATGATGGAAATACTTTAATATTTTCAAGTGTACATAATTTTATCATCCAATCTAAAAGATTTGTCTAGTAAATTCTTTTCATATATACAATGATCCTTTGCATCCACCTACTTATCTCTAATCATACTGTATCCTGCCCCCCCTCCCCCCCCCCCCCCCCCCCTCTGGCCCCCATTATCACTTCTCGTCTTAGTTTACTGAAAATCAAATAAAATATAATTATGTATTCCTAGTACGCTTTTAAAGTGAGTTCTTATTAACTGTCTGTATTTGAATTCCATATAATTCACCAAATACGCCATCATGTTTGATTTATTTAAGATATTCATTGGAAAAGGATTTATATATGTTGTTTAACTTGTTTACAATTCCTCTATACTTTGCTATGTATTATTCACATGTTGTTATGGAATAAAAATAAAGTTTATATTAAAGCCTTATCAATTATTCAAAAAATATAAAAAAAACCAACTTAACCATTCTTTTCTTTATTACAAAATAATGAGACCTGCAGCAATATATGTGTATATATAAATAGTTATCCAATGAATTTACCTCCTTTCTACAATTACAATACATATTCATCATTAACCTCCATATCACATACAATATACATTTACTTACATACTGTGAAATCATTAATATTCGTGGGAGTTGATTTTTTGTTGCAACATAATCCATAAATTTATATGTTTACAACTACTGAAATTAGTATAAGTGAATTTATTAATCTGTCTTTAGGCATTAAATTAAGAGTTGGCCAAATATTGATTTTTTTGCTTTTGTTTTTTATTTTTGCTTTGTTCTTTTTTCGAAAAACCACAAAAACTGAGTCCCACGAAGATGCATGATTTAAAATATCCCAAGAAGTCTTCTATACGAACTTACATAGCTCTAACTTACAGCGCCTTCACCCACTAAATACATTCATGGTTTATACAGAAGTCTAAGTTAATGAGCATTTGTAAGACTTTAAGGGTCAAAATCAACCGAATCATGGCCATTTCACCCACCACCACTGATAAATCTCTTATTCCTCTTAAATTTCTTATCTGAACTATCAGTAAATTTCCTACCTGAATATCTAAGAGATAAGTAAAATTTTCAGGTATCCCTTCAAATAATAGCATATTACTTTGAAGGTATGCCTATATGCTACTTCCTAAAACATAACGGTATGATTTGGAATAAAATTTCAAACCAATGAGAGGACAGGTGATCAAAAGAAAACCTTCATCAAACAATATTCCCTTAATTAAATGGAGTTGTCCCCCCTTCCGCTGACCTCTGATCATAAGAAAACCTTAATCAAACAATATTCCCTTAATTAATTGGAGTTTTCCCCCTTCCACTGACCTCTGTCACCTAGCCCATTTCTTATAAACCACTACATGTACATGATACATGCTTACTAATTACATTCATTCTGTCACTATTGACACCTAAACAAAAGCCTTGTTTAATTTCAGCATTACTAATACAAATACAAAATACACTAAACACGGTAGTACCACATACATCAGGGAGCAAATGGTGAGTTTAAAAACAAGTATCCTTTATAATAGTATATATACTGCACTATGCCTTTTTGCTTTTTTTTCTAGGGTTCTGTTCTGGTATGGAACAAAAAATGAAAAATGAAATGAATACGAAAAAATAAAAATTGATAATAAAAAAATTTTTTTGAGGAAAAATCTCGTCTGGTCACAAACTTTGATGCTGATTTCAGTCCGAGTTCTGATCACAGCTTTTACAAAAAAATAAACTTTGTTTTGTTTAAACTTTTTTGAATGAAGTACAAAAAAAAAAAAAAAAAATCCCAAGTAATAAAAACAGAGTATGCATGAACTGGGCTGAAACCTTTGAAGAGTTTGATGTATTCCTTGGCTCCAACTCTTCTATACCATGCTCATGTGACTGTACAACAACAGGAGGACAGTAGGTAAAGACAGGTATATTTATCCAAGAGACAAGGACCCATATATCTCAGATCATACATGCATATCCTGGTACTGATCTTCTTATTAAATAAAAAATTGTGAATTTATTTTGACAGAACTCTTTACTATAACCAACCTATGAAAATAGTAGATGGTGTGTATCTACTTCAGTTTATTTGAAATGTACTTCAATAAAGATACAACAAACAATTTGTATCAATGTGTCAAACATTATTACAGGTATTGGACTATGGGTACATCATCAACAAATTGTATCAGCATATCTTGTCTGTATAGGAGCCTACCAAGCAGTATGTGACAGCAAAATCTTGACATAATGCCATCAATTTCTTAACTACTTTGCAAGTTGCTAACATCAAATTACCAATGTCAAATTTTCACATCTATTTACTTCATACATATCAACCCAGTACTGAAACAGCATTAAAAGACAATTTCAAAAGTGGCTTAACTTTGAGATAACAAGGTTTAATTGACAAACAATGACAGTGTAACAAGCTTTTACTGATAAATGATGGCAGTATAACAAGGTTTTACTGTACAATGGTGACAGTATAACAAGGTTTTACTGTGTAATTGTGACAGTATAACAAGGCTTTACTGTATAATAGTGACAGTATAACAAGGCTTTACTGTATAATGGTGACAGTATAACAAGGTTTTACTTATAATGGTAACAGTATCTACAACGTTTAAATGTGTAATGATAGCAGTATAACAAAGTTTTAATGACAAACAGCGGCAGTATAACAAGGTTTTACTGACAAATTATGTAAGCATAACAAAAAATTACTGTATACTGGTGACAGTATAGCAGGGTTTTATATGTAATGATGTTAGTATTGCAAGGTTTTAGAGACAAATTGTGGCTATGCTAATTTTGTTGACTTCCATCCAAATAATTTGAGGTCATGCACTGTAACACTACTGGTATGAGCTTATTGTTACTGCCAGTCTGATATCTTTGCCTATTTATGGAAGGCAACAAGGATAAAAAAAACACTTGTGGTAGTAATCACTTCTTAATCCATAGTATTCTCTCTGTAGAAATCAGATCTAAAACATGTTTCTGTTGAAACTCAAAATGAGGTAAATAATGATATTTGTTTTTTATCAAAAGTTTCTTTATTTCTCATGGTCAAGTCAAAAAAGCTGATGATTATGTGGACATGATCATGTTAAAGCAAAGTATTTATATACGATTGTATCAAAAATAAAAAAAGGAAATAAATCCACTGACAAGGGAGATAACTGTATTTTATAGGAGAAGCTGAGGTTTTGAAACATATTGTGCAAAATAATAAAGCATCTACTTTTAATGTTGAAAAACTAAAATCACACAAAAAACCTGAAATCTTTGTGAAAATATCTGACAAACAATGACTTAAGAAACTGAATATTAGTGTGTAACTGATGACATTTCTACTAAATGTGCTTCACATCTACAATGAAACTGGTTAATGATTAATTTGTTCATAACTTGAATTAAAGCGGACTAAAATTCAACATCCTTTCAGAGGTATATATAACAGTTTAAACAAGTATTGGCAATTGTTTAATTTTTTCTCTACAAACTTGTTGATATCCATTAAAGATGTAATGATTCATAGTATTTTTTTTATTTTCTTAATGACTTGTTTAATATAAGATAAAAATATCTGAAAAAAAAACTGAAAAGTAAAGCCATCATTTAGGGAAGAAATTAACTGTTTCTATTTCAATTCAAACAAATACCTAGTACATGTATAATAGCTATATGTAGCCTGACTACCATATCAACTGTTAAAAATCACCAGGGCACCAACAAATAAACTTGGACTCATAGTCAGGGAGTGGGCGTATTAACAGTTAACAGTTCAGTGCTTTTAGGGTTCGGAGGAGTCAAAAACTATGAACTTTATGTAGTTTATGATAATTGTGAACCGATCAAGCCATTACCTTAAAATATCAATCACTCTTGTTGACCCTGATTGGAGTGTACCCAGGTCTTTACTCTTGGGGAAAAAAACACATCAAGAAGGTGATTTTATGCCTATTCATGCTTGACTGTGAAACCTAACCAAGTCACCGAGGAAAAAGACTAGTATTATCAATGTGTCATCTGCTCACTTACACTTTCAATGACTTATTCCAAAAGACCTTTGAGACAATGTAATATGCAATATGAAAAATAACATGATTCAAGACCTTGTTCCTCTAATTCATTTTTACACTTAACATTTTTTTTCTATGATGCAACATATATTTGTTGTCAATATAATACTGCACCAAATAATGCTACAAAAATACAATTTAAAGTTTATCTCTCTTTCAATTTCATTATAATAAAAAATAGCATCCATTTTTTTATGAATATCCTGCTGTCACCATTTTCACCAAATGGTATTGCATATGCAGGCAGAGAATATTAGAAGATAGAATCCAGTTCACAATTTAAAAAAGGAAAGGAAAAAATGAAATATATTTGACCATGCATAAAACTGATAACTTATATCAAGAAATCAGTTAATTGGATTTCAATTAATGTCAAATACATGTGTAAAGTGGATTAGCAAATGACATTAACAACTAATTACAATATGTTCTAAACCAAGACCCTCTACATCTAACATGTAAACATTTCTTCTGAATGAATTTCAAATTTCCTTGAGACATACCTCAGTTTGTTTGTTTTTTTAACGAAGATTTAAAACCTAAGCTTGTTTAAAAATACAGAGATCTTGGTGACCACCTTTGCTTGATCTTGATCTGTTCTTTAAAAGTATAATATGTTCCCCTCTTTCTTCTGTGTTTGCTCTTAACTATATTAAACTTGAAAAACTTAGATGGTCCCTTGTCAGCAATTTAGCTTTTCTGATCCATCCCTTTATCAAAATTATACATAAGGGTGAAGCTACATTTAGTATTTGAGAAAAATGATTCCAGTACATCTCAAGAAAGAGTGATAAAAACATTTGATTGACAAAGTTCAAGATTGCTGCCGGTCAGCCATTATTTTTTTCGTATCAGTTTGAAAATAAAAGGGGCACAACAAGGGACCAAAGGGAACTTACAGATGAAATCTGAGTAAAAAAAAATAGCAAAAACAAATGTAAAATGTTGTAATTCACAATAGTCATGGGCCATCTGATGATGGTGAACTAACTTATGATCAAACTAGATTTTATAAAGGTTACTAAACTAACTGAAGCCACCTGAAAACTTCAACACTTTGTTATGAAAAAAGTTGACTGATTTCAATTCAAAAACTAAATCTTAACACTGGTACATTATGTAAATGCTTTATTTAAAACAAAAAAGCTTCTACTGATGGCACATTTCTGTTAATGTCACCTTTCTATTCATGTAACATTTCTGTTAATGTCATATTTCTGATAATGTCACATTTCTGTTTATGTTTAAACATATATATGTTTGTACAAAAATGTACTTGATTTCTTCATAAAAAATAAAATATGCATCACAAATCATTCTACAATCTCCCATTCTTGCTAATTACATGACCACAAATACTTGCACATGGAGGTTACAAGTTACATCATACTTTAAATCACTGGATTGAAAGACAATTAACACTAATTACAGAGGACTTGTTTCTAATGACAATGCTGTGATAATCGCCCCAGTGTCATACGACAGGTTGCCATGATGTGTATACAGAGATGAATGATTACAATTTTTCAATATGATGCCAGTCGTATCTAATGATTATAGATGTAGTCTAGAGATATCTCTTGCTGTGTCTTCCGTCTACTTGCCAAAACGCTGGTTGATCCTGGAGAAGTTTTGAAGAGCTGTGATGAATGACTTGTATCGAATAGATAAATGAGATGGAATGCACCTGAAATACCAAATAGAATTGAAATTATACAAGGTAATGTAAAATATACTAATGAAGAACATGAAGTCATATTCCAAATAATTTCTGTACCTTACAAGAAATTGTCATCTTAAAACATCCTATAATGAGTAAAAGTTGCAGTAGTAAACTTTTCTTAAAGTCCCCTTGGTCTTGTCAAAAGCCCTTTACATTACCACACACCTTCATAGATCACTTAAAACCTTGAAACCTTAAAACCAAGATAGTTTAATTTGAAATAGGTTCAGCTTGTTAGAAGCATGTTTTGACACAAAGAACTTTTCCTTCAATCCTCATCTAGTTCAAATTGTAGAAAGCTGAAAATTATTGTATTGAATCTACCTGTTTTGATCCAACATTTTTACTAAATTTAGTTTCATTACTTCCTTTGAAGTGTGATCCAATGTTACTGTTAAGTGTTTCTGTAATCTTGTATATATCTATTCTAAAAATAAAAGTTTATGAATGATATAAATAATTCAATAATTTGTCCATTACAATCATCATCAACTGACATTCTATATAACAATGTCCAAAATAAAATTCGGCATCAATCAATACTTTTATTGTAAAATTTTGTTCTAAATCATTTTAAATTTTGCTACACCTGCATACTTACAATATTTCTGTTAGCCTAATCTGCCAGGGGAGATAACCCAACAAAGAATCTGTCTGACCAAACTTCAGCACCAGGTCAGGATCTGGGAACTTATGAATTTCTGTGACAAAATAACAATTATCTAATTTAATTATTACATGTTTGCTTGGGCTAGTCACATGAATTGAAAGGTTGGGTGTGGGGTTGGGGAGGGTTGTTCAGTCCTTTGCAAATCATGTTATGTACACATCAGTATAATGTGTAGACTTTATATTTTATAATTAATTTTTGTCCATGTTGATAACTACTTCCAAATCAAGGTTGTATAGAGAGCATCAAAGTTGAAATAACTGTAATATCTGTATAGAATCAAACTGACTTTAAACAACATTTTACAAACCCAAAACTGAAACATTCTAATAGAATGATTGTTATGAAAAACAAATATGAAACCAGCAAGGAATCAATATTCAAATGAACAATGCAGTTATTCAGGCCTTTAAGAAATTGTTGACTATCAAATTTCCCCAGACTCAAATCTCTTCCATACATTTCCAGCATGATTGTGACAGGTATACTTGCCAACCCATGTGCAATCTAATTAGAATTCTGCCCATCAAGAAAATTTGAATCATCAAACATACGTTTATAATTTCAAACAACCAATATTAACAGTCCACTTGAGCTTAAGTTATTGAAAGCTGATCTATAATTGATTTTTTTTTCATAATGCTGGAATATTTAACTCCAGAAATTGGCAAGTACATGTTTTACATATTTTCTTGCCTTTATTTAAATAATTACCTGACAAGTGTTTTCTGAATGTAATTACAGATGATATAATGGCAAGCAGCTACTTTCTAATTAATATTCACATAATTAAAGCATTTCAAATACACATAGTTTGAAAGACCTCATAATATCAGATGAAATAAACCCAGTATTGAGAAAGTACCCTATAAAGACGAAGAGATGACAAGAGAATGGTGATGTAACAATAAAACACCAAACACCAAGTAAAATCTTGTTGTAACAGGGCGACAACAGGCAAATGTAAATTTTGTTGGTCTATATCTACTGTACATTTGAATTTACCTTGAAATAAATTATCTAAAGATTGAGGTGATATATCGTCTATCCTTCTTCGTTTCTCCAATACCTCAACACAGAGCTCACGGGCGGTCTTGACCAAATCATGCCGACCATCTTCTGTACTCACCAACTGTATATGTACACTATTACCACTGTAACAACCTGAGAAAGAAACTTCTTTGTGTAACATAAAGAGTAACTATTATTTTTTCAATGCATAGGTTTTCACTCCATGTAAAAGCATTCATTTTCCACAAACAATTGTTATTAGCAAGAAGCAAATTGACATTTCAGAGCAAGATTCAGAGTTGAAGACAAAAAATATGGTATTACTAGGTACTTAGTTTTTCTGGTCAACGCAATAAAAATAGAATTTTTTTTAGTCCAGAATTTCACGGCTCTGTACATGCTTTAAAAACTGGGAAAATGTTTTGCTTTTCTTGATTTCTGAGAAAATTTACACATTTTCTGGCTAAATTAAACTATTTTGTGGTGTGAAACTACAAAAAAAGTGAATTTTCCATTAACAGAAAAGAATTCTTATATTTTGAAATAAATACTTGCCATTTTGATAAACATCTTGTCTATCAGTAAAACTTGAATGTATATGTATATTGTGTTTGGTATTCTCTGTGTCTGATATGAACTGCTGACTTTTGCTTATCTCTTCTCTTAAAAGTTCATGTTTTCTTTTAAATTCACCTGTAACAAATAAAAAGTAAAACCATCTTCAAAGCATCTCATACATTTACACTATAAAATTATTACTGAAAGCAAAAATAAAGAACAGCACAAGTTGTCACAGTACCATCTAAGATAAGTGCGTGATGAAGTTTAGTACATCATACAAAGTTGCTTAATTTCATGTTATTAGTAAAAACTATATATGTTACAAGTAAAAAGATTTCTTGAGCAAACTTCCATGTACTTTCTGGCATTTTAGCAGAAATTTTAGGCCTTAAGGTGAAACTTATCAATATTTTGAAAAAGATGTAGACTCACATGACAAATGATTTCATGCAGAGATTTCTGCTATATCAATACAAAATTCATTGACTCTACAGTTATCTGTACAATGCAGTTTTGGGAGTGAAGCAATACAAGTTATTGAATAAACACTGATGCCAGCCAGTGCTTCTATGTACAGTTGTTCCTGATTATGATGGGAAAACAACTTTTTTTTAAAAAAGACATTGACTAAAAAAACCTAGATGCAACTGGCAATTATGTCCAATGTACAACTTGTTGACACTTTAGACATTGCAATTGGTATTGGGTCAAAGTTAAATAGAAAATTTATGAGAGGAATACATCTATAGATTAGGACTAAATTTGATCATCACTGTGGGTTTTTTTTTTATCTTTTTCTCCATTTCTTTGGTCACACTTCCTGAGTTCATATTCAGTGATCCTATGCCATTCCAATAGTAATTGAAGAAATCTTGTGGCTTTAAATTTGCTTTCGATCAGCTGTTTTATGAACCTGTTTTTTACTAACCGTTGACGTCGAACACACTGATGTAGGATATACCAAGGGTAATTGACCACACAATTATGTTAGCAATGTCTGAAAATGAGACATCGTTCTCCAAGACTAGTAGACCCAGATGATGCGGTAACTTTTGAAACGATCTTGCATCAGCTGCTATCTGTGATTGTAGGCCATAACTCACACTTCCGGTCAATGCTTTCTGTTGGAAAGCGAAGCCAATATAAGGGAAATGTAAAATCCAGTGTTTAACAAATATCCCAAGGGAAAGCACATAGTGAATAAGTCTCAGCACTAGGTTGCCAATCATTTTGGGTAACTTTATACGGCCACTTTTATGTGTGAGGTTCCTCAGTCACCATGTCCGAAATGCCGGTGGCTCGTGTCAAAACCAGAAGTAGTAGTCTCGGACTGAATAATCATAAAATTCGATATCATCAAGGAAATGTTATATTTCCAACTTTAATATCATACCACGATATAAACAATATAATTTGATACTATTTTATGGCCTGTCATTAAAATAAATATTTAAAGAGTGAAAACAATTCTATTTTCTTTATTTTTGAAAACGAAAGTACGTACGACTAACAGAGTTGTCGTTCCTTACATTAAGTCGGAGTCCTGCAACAAGGTTATTGGATTTGAATATGGTTTACAACAATATGACTTGTCAGCAAGAGTACTGTGTAGGATATATTCGTTCATAACATATATTTAAAGGCTCTTGCAGAGAGAGAGAGACGACACCAACTACAGCTGATCATACAGGCATAAGCTAACTATTTAGCTAGATATTGAAGCTATAAACTAGTTCACTAGAGAAGCCAGCAAACCCACATTATTTAGTCAGGTAAACCTTAGTTTGGTTATATCATGACTGGCTCGAATTATTCGAAATTCTAGATATTAGAAATCACACGAAGGCATACATACATGCACGTGAACGAGTATTAACAACTCCTTGCTGGTAAGTGATAAGAGTTACATTTTGTAATTCTAAACACGAGTCCAGTAAAAAGGAACCATAGAATTCTTGTACTGGAAAAAATATTATTAGTAACTATAAGTAAGTAAGTGGTGAAAATAAAAAAAAATACATGATAACCATATCTGTTTTCATATCTTACCTTAGGATACCTTCGGGTCTTCTATGGACACTTGTCTATTCGACCACTATATGTCCTCATTTAATCATCAGTTTTGTCATTTGTACTGTTTACGGAACATCTTCCGGTGTTGTCTTTGACTGAGTTGTGGTTGTATTTTACATTCTAGTCTTTCTAAATTTTATCCATTCTTGCTTCAAAACATTTGATAGTTTTTTTTTGCGTGCACCATTGATTCTAGTAGATTATTGGAATTATACACTGTTCTGAAAGTGAAGCTGAACTTCCGCACATTGTGTTGCAGCATTGTTTTTGTACTTTTTAGGCTGTGTCCTCTTGTGGATGTACCTTTGTATTTTTTTATGTTACTAACCTTAATAAAGTTTCAGAAGGTGCTTAAGATCCATGCTTGTTGCCACTTGTTGAATTAATGCCTTTTAGAAAGACCACCTTACACATGTGCATCATGCATTAGTCATTAACATCTTTTTGCTCTTGATCATTTAAAAATGGTTTTGTCCACATTCAGATACATGGTCTCTTTCAAGGTCATGACAAGTTTAATTAGTTGGATGGCAATGCACAAATGTATCTAAGTGTGTACTAGGTGGGGATGGTGGGAGTTTCTGTTCAATCAAGTGGTAATCATATAAATGTAGAGTATTCACCTTAAGCTTGAAATTGTATTATCGCTATTTCAAGTCATAGCAGGGGCAAAACTTTCTTCTATAACTCCTTCCAAAGATTTCGTGCCAATTGCACCAAGAGTAGAAAAAAAGCTTGCTGGGATACAAGTGTCTAAGGCAAAAAAAAAAAAAAATTCTATATATATGTGTAACATGAAATTATGATAGTGCAGTGTTAAGATATATTCTTATTTTCTATTTCTTTCCAAGTGTGCTGTATTGATGAAGCTCTACAAGCATGAGGCATTTACTGTCACAGCTGAGGAGTTTACAAGGCTTTTCCCAGAGATCAGCAACAATTCCTTCTGAAACCTTGTACAAGTATAAACACTGCAAACACTGCCAGCTGCATCAGCCTGCTTTAAAGACTGTATCTCACAATCCTTATCAATCTCTAAGGCATTGCAGCAGCAATATAAGAGAATCCAACTGGAGTGTTCATTCCTTGGAAAGCCGTGGAGTAGTGAGACTGAAAGGTACAGATACAGTACCATTCCTCCAGGGTCTGGTCACAAATGATGTTGCTGTTGTTGGAGACAAAACCCCTAGTCTGTATACCTTGATGCTCAATGTACAGGTAATCTCATCATTTATCTGTTATTGATAGAAAGTTTTGAATCTTTTATGATTTAATGAAGTGTGGAAAAACATGTCGAAAAAAATACATATATATGTATACCAGAATGTATACACACTGGCTGTTATATATCTAACTTCAGCGAGGGCTATGAGCTGTATAATTACATATGTAGGACTGAAAAATTATTGAAAGTATGTTAGAATTCTTGACTAAGGAACTTGAATGGGGGCAATAAAAGCTCAAATTTAAGAGCATTGATTTGGCCTTCACAGATGAGTAAGCTCTGAGGTGTTTGGCTGTATGCTCCTTTTACTACATAAAGTAACTGTGGTAGTTTTAATTTCCCGTAAAGGAAAGAAATGGATCTGTCAGTGCTGTTGTGATTTTGTCCTCATGCAAATAAAACACTTTACCCCTATTGCACTAGATGTCAGGAGAAACGTCACCCATATGTGACAGGCCTCCTGTATGTTGTTCAGTGAGGTAGCCACCGTCTCCTAAAAGGAACCACTAGCTACTACATGGAAACTCTGCCTCAAAATAACTTTGGCTGATCTTTATGATGTAGTTTGTTGATACTATAGCCATATACATGGATTAATCTGGTATTGAGGGAATACTACTTATTGATAGCAGAGAGACATTTTAGAGTTTCTTTGAGAAATGAAGGAATTTGGGACAGCTCTTTTAGTCACAATTAAAAAAAGGGATAAGGGAAAACTATATAATATGCCATGAAGATTTCATGAATGAAATATAACAATATTGTGGTTATGTTAATAATTCCTTAACATGCTAAGTGAAAATAAACTGATTAGCTCTGTTTGGGGGAATGTTTTCTCTATTTTAGGGAAATTTTCCAATGTTTGCAGTATATCTACTTTATGGGATTTTTTTATATTTAGAGGGGAAAATATATCACATATTCTGTGCTAAAATTTGTCTTACTTATTTCGTGATAACAAGTCTTTGCAGTGTATCATTTTGTGATAACACATTCCATTACCGGCTATTTTATGAATCTTTGTGATTTGTTAAAACATTTTATTGCAGGCTATGACTTGTTAATACATATTTACACGACCTACATACATGTCCCAAGTCATGTACTCACAGAATTCTGACAGAACTCACAGAATTTCTGAAAATACTTCAATTTACACATTGCAGGATCGATTCATTTTAGCAATAAAGTTTAAAATGACTAATGAAAATAAGTTGTCACTGATCACTTGTTGTGTTTACGATTTGTTAATACATTTTATTACAGGGTCGTGTGCTGTATGACCTGTTGATGTTCCACGCCACTGATGTGACAGGGAAGTCTTTCCTTTTATTAGAGTGTGACACTAATGTCACTGAAGATCTCCTCAAACTCATTAAAAGATATAAAATCAGAAAGAAGGTGAGTGATTTTTGTTGATTGAAATGCTTCAATAATTAATCAAACAAGTTCTTATTCATTTTGATGCAAATTAAATATGGATGGGAAATTTTGTCAGTGATTCTGAAAAATTTTGATTTGATGAGGAACCTTGTTGACGGTAATTAAAGTGATATGAAATAGACATCCATTATTCTACTGCGTTTGGAATGCACCTTACAATGTATGTTACCTGGTACATTCATGTTATTCTAAGGCACAATCAGAGTAAGTAATCAATTCCATCTCTTTGAAAATCTTGTTTTTGAGTATTGCATTACTCTATCACACACATTAAGGACACCGGAGATGAAGTCTCAGGGTCACCTATTGCGATTGCTTTTGTCCATCATCTTGTGTAAACTTTGCATGTTGTAAACTTTAAATATTTTCAATTTCTTTGGAAAACTCCTGAATGGAGTTCAATGAAATTTAAAAAAAAAAGTTTCTATGGCTTAAATTGCACCATAATTGTAAATTATATTGTCCCCTACCCCCAGGGGCCTGATGGTCATGGCCAGTAAGAGTCAAATTGATTGAAACTTCAAAGATCTTCTTCTCAAATCCCATGTATGGTAGAATCAAATACTCTTCTTGGATAGAAATGCTTTCTGATTCTTTATGAAAATTGCAAATTTCATGACCCCTGGGTCTCACATTTCCCCCATAGGAGCGGATAAAGTTTACTCAAGTGTATATAGGTAAATTACATTTTTGAACAAATTTTTTTTATTTTCTTGTAGAAATAGATCAAACTTGTTTAGAATTCTTAGTTTAAGTTGACAGTTTGATGAGATGCATACATTGACCCTGGCTGACCCCCAGGGGCTTATGAGCAGGGCCAAAAATGGATCAAATTGACTGAAATTTCATAGATGTTCTACTGTTCATGGATTGAAGATATGCATGGATGAGAATTCATTATTGGAGTGCAATTTCTTTTAATTCAAACTTGGTTAGAAGCCTTAGCATATGGTACAGCAGTTAATGTTATGTACAATTTACATTGGCATTATGTGTACACTGGAATTAAAGTTTTCTTACTTTTTTTTAACAAAATCATTTCTATGACATGTTACAAGAAGCATTGTAACTCATTTGTCTGTTAAGGCCCTTGGGCCTCTTTTCTTAAAATCCTATTTCCAATGAAAACTACCAGATAGGACCTCTGTATTATGACACGGTCTCTATAGAATGTCAGGTAAGGCAGGTGTCACTGTACCACTGATTTTCAGGTTGATATAGCTGATGTGACTGATAGCTGTAAGGTGTTTGCTGCTCTTTGTAAAGGCGACGATCAAAAGATATCTGTTGATAAGCAGCTGCCTGGAATATTGTCAGCGGCTCCAGATCCTCGCATGAATAGCTTTGGTTTGAGAATCATAGCAAGCAACTCAGGGTCAGTACTCAAAGGTGAGTTTACTATTGCTAGAGTCATCTCATCCTTACAATTTAGTGTCATATTGCATTGTCTGTTGTCTGTCTATCTGTGTGTACTTACGTCTGTATACATTATTTCATTATTAAGTGGTACCTCTCCAAAAATGATTTTGATGCAGTGACAGGACCTCCTCTACTTAGTTCAAAATAAATTTTGAAAAAATATATGGTATTCCAGATTATTTAAATGGTGGCCATCTTGAAAATCTTGATATCACAACTCGTCAACTTTCGAAGGACTATCCAGTCAAGTTTTGAAATCAGATGTGTCATCGTTCCTTGTGTAGATTTAGAGTCATTTAGCTGAAAGGTGTAGAATGTTTTGCTATATAATTACCTTAAACTTAAGGCCATTGGATAGGACTTACATTTTTAACAAGATAAATTAAGTATTCATTATTGCAAATAGTGTTTACACTTACACTTTATTCAGTTACTGTTTGTTTTTCCTTCTTACAACTTTTTAAGGTGCAAGTAACCTATAGTTATTGTGGTTTTTTTCTATGGTGTGTCAGGAGTAAACTTTCAATATTAATGAAGTTTTCTAATTCCACCAGAGGGATTTACCTCAAACTCACCTACAAATGTAGAGAGATCCAGGGATGGTCCTGACAAAGAATTGTTTTATTATTGTTATATCAATCAGTGTAAAATCCAAGATGGTGGCAAAGGCCTCCATCTTTAAAAACACGTTTTAAACTGCTCTTCCAGGATTACAGATAATTGAGCTGGAAACTGATAGATTAAATTTAATTAGACATTGAGGAGAATTATTGACAAAGTGTTGTTTTTTTATAACCTGGTCAAAATTATGATATGGTAGCCACAGCAGTCACTGTGTAACATGACATACACATCCATCAGTTATTCAACTTATCATGTTTTAAACATCTTCTAAAAGCCCATCTGTTGGATTTAGCTGAATGGTGCCTGGAATTAATAATCCTGAGATGGTCTGGAACGAATTGATATATTTAGTGCCAGAACCCTTGATTATCATATGTTGGATGGATTTGAGTTGGAGAGAAGTAGAGATATATTCTTCAAACACATCAAACATATCTGTTTTTCAGGGTTTGGAGTTAAAGAGGAAACACCTGAGGAGGACTACCACAGGGAGCGGTATCAGATTGGTATTGGGGAGGGAGTAGTGGACTTACCCCCAGGGAACTGCTTTCCTCTGGAGAGTAATGCTGTGTATCTGAATGGAGGTGGTTTATCAACAAGTTTCTTTGATGTTTTTAAGTAGTGATAATAAATAGCGATGCCACTTATAAACAAACAAAATTGTCAAACTCTTGTGTTTGTATAGTATCTGTTGATACATGAATTTCTACAAAATTGTTTTTCAAGAGTTGAAAAGAACACCACTTTATATCAATTACCTTGAAAGCTGCATGCCATCATGGGTATATATACGATAGTATTTGAACCCATGAACTCATAGATATAGGTTTTGATACCAAACAATATTCTTGTTACTTTTCAGTGTGTTTCCACAAGGGCTGTTATGTCGGCCAGGAGTTGACCGCTAGGACATTTCACACTGGGGTCACACGCAAGCGCCTGATGCCTCTCTTGTTTGATGAGTAAGTTCAAGGCACAGGCATTCAGAGATCAGAATATATTTGCGACAAATTTTTGCTTACACCTTGTGCCTTTAAGTCTCTGCTTTCTTCCTTTCCCCATTAGGGGTCAGTCAGCATTTTCCGAATTATATATATTCTTATTTTCTTATTTTCAGCTTGTTCAAAATTGATCAAATATCAAAATATTTGATCAAAATCGGACAAGCTGCCATATGATCTGTAAAAAAAGATTATTTAGATTGAAAATGCACAGTGTGTCCCCTAACAAAGAACTATATATTACTATAGTGTTAACTATATGTCAAACTTGTAGAGACCGTAATTTCAGCTGTGTCTTGTGGCATGAAATTATTTTAAGGTTAGTTTATTTATTTTTTATTTTCTGGTCACATCAATAACTGTTTGATGTGAAAAGAGACTTAATGTTATAAATTATATGACTATGACCTACTTAATAATTTTTTGATAGTTGCTCAGAGATTGAGTTTACAAAAAATACTATTTTCATGGTTTTGACACCCAAACTTTCTAAGATTCCTCACAAAATTTTTGAAACTATATCATATCATCCTTTCTACTTTTATTTTACTTTACATACAAGTTTGCCTTGGTAAATTTATCAGGAAAATAATTTGTTTTTTCAGTGAACCACAGAATATTATAGCCGGATCTAACATTGTAACAGAGACAGGAAAATCAGTGGGGAAAATGCGAGGTCATATTGGAAAATATGGACTCGGTCTTTTACGGATAGCAGAGGCCAGTAAAAACCTTAGTGTTAAAACAGAGACAGAGGAAAACCTAGGAGTGAAAGCCACCACCCCAGACTGGTGGCCTAAGGAGAGTTGATTTGAATTACATAATCGAGAACACATACTGCCCTTCAGTTACATGTGCATGCTGATAATGTGAACCCTAGATGGTGTAATTATATAAAGAGACTAGACATGAATTCAATATCTCAAAATACTTATCTATGGATGTGAATTATTTAAAGAAGTTAAGAATTCCAGAACTGTCTCACAGTTTAGAGTCAGATTTGACATAAATTGCAAACTTCAAAATTGTACTGTGTACTTATCTAAAGCATGTAGGGTCAGTTCTGTTGACTGACTGCTTAGACCAGCTATTCCTGTTTTTTTGACTAAGGAAATGAAGTTCATATTTATGAGTGGATAATATGTTCTGTTTGTAACACATTTAAAATAACATCCAAATTCAATATTGTGGTTTTACAAACATTGATTTAATAAAACCAAAAATTATTTGATTTAGCAATGACTGGTTCAGTTTGTTCAACACACAATTTGACCAACATTCTTAATACAGAAATTCAAGAAACTATGGTTGATGATCCTTTGATTTTGTGTATACAAAGGAAAGCCTTGGCTATAAATGTATGCTTTTATTTTTATATGCACCCCACAATTTTTTTTTTTTTTTTTGGGGGGGGGGGAGGGGGCATATAGTCACCGCCTTGTCTATCTGTTTGTCTGTTCATTCTTTTGTGTCAGAAACAAAACTTTGCCCACAGTTAAGCCAAGGATCATGGAAACTAGGTGTATACATTGGTCATGGAGGGGATTTGCTGTGTACCAAATTCAGGGCCCTTGACTCCTTAATTACAGAGTTACTGCCCATTATTAATGTTTCCTCTCTGGAGTATAACTTTGCCTTTACTTGAAATAGGATAATGAAACGTAGTGTATACTTTGATCATATGAAGCAATGTGCAATGTATCAATATCAGGTCCACAACCCCTTAATCACAGATTTATTGCCCTTTGTTAAAATGTTTGTATCTATAACATTGAATTTCTTGCATTTAAACTAGGGTATTGAAATGTGATGTATATGTCAGTCATACAAAAGCATAATGCAGTGTTGCAAAGTCAGGGCCCATGACCCCTCAGTACATAACTGTACAACCCTTTTCTGTGATAACCGTAACTGTACAACCCTTGTCTGTAATGACGGTAACTGTACAACCCTTGTCTGTAATGACGGTAACTGTACAACCCTTGTCTGTAATGACGGTAACTGTACAACCCTTGTCTGTGATGACCATAAATGTACAACCCTTGTCTGTGATGACGATAACTGTTCAAGCCTTGTCTGTGTTGACGATAACTGTACAACCCTTGTCCTTGATGACGGTAACTGTAAAACCCTTTACTGTGATGACAGTAACTGTAAAACCCTTGTCTGTGATGACGATAATTATAAAAACCCTTGTCTGTGATGACAGTAACTGTACAACCCTTGTCTGTGTTGACGGTAACTGTAAAACCCTTGTCTGTGATGACAGTAACTGTACAACCCTTGTATGTGATGACGGTAACTGTAAAACCCTTTACTGTGATGACAGTAACTGTAAAACCCTTGTCTGTGATGACGATAATTATAAAAACCCTTGTCTGTGATGACAGTAACTGTACAACCCTTGTCTGTGTTGACGGTAACTGTAAAACCCTTGTCTGTGATGACAGTAACTGTACAACCCTTGTATGTGATGACGGTAACTGTACAACCCTTGTATGTGATGACGGTAACTGTAAAACCCTTGTCTGTGATGACGGTAACTAAAACCCTTGTCTGTGATGACGGTAACTAAAACCCTTGTCTGTGATGTAACTGTAACCATACAAGTGTGATGAACCACATACCTCAGATGAACCACACAACTTAAAGGAACCACATACCTCAGATGAACCACACAACTTAAAGGAACCACATACCTCAGATGAACCACACACCTTAAAGGAACCACACATCTCTGATGAACCACACACCTCTGATGAACCACACACCTCTGATGAACCACACATCTCTGATTAACCACACACCTCAAATGAACAACACACCTCAAATAAACCACACACCTTTGATAAAACACACACCTCTGATGAACCACACACCTCAAATGAACCACACACCTCTGATGAAACAAACCTCTGATGAACCACACACCTCAAATGAACCACACACCTCTGATGAAACACACACCTCAAATGAACCACACACCTCTGATGCACCATACACCTCGGATGAAACACACACCTCAAATGAACCACACACCTCTGATGAACCATACACCTCTGATGAACCACACACCTCTGATGAACCATACACCTCTAATGAAACACACATATCTGATGAACCACACACCTCTGATGAACCATACACCTCTGATGAACCATACACCTCTGATGAAACACACATATCTGATGAACCACACACCTCAAATGAACCATACACTTCTGATGAACCACACACCTCAAATGAACAACACACCTCAAATGAACCACAAACCTCAAATAAACAACACACCATTGATAAAACACATCTCTGATGAAACAAACCTCTGATGAACCACACACCTCTGATGAAACACACATATCTGATGAATACACATCTCAAATGAACCACACACCTCACATGAACCACACACCTCTGATGAACCACATACCTCACATGAACCACACACCTCTGATGAACCACATACCTTTGATGAACCACACACCTCTGATGAACAACACATCTCTGATGAACCACACACCTCAAATGAACCACACACCTCTTATGAAACACACATATCAGATGAACCACACACCTCTTATGAAACACACATATCAGATGAACCACACACCTAAAATTAACCACACACCTCTGATGAAACAAACCTCTGATGAACCACACACCTCTGATGAACCACACACCTCAAATGAACCACACACCTCTGATGGATCACACACCTCTGATGAACCACATACCTCTGATGAACCACATACCTCTGATTAACCACACACCTCAAATGAACCACACACCTCTGATTAACCACACACCTCAAATGAACAACACACCTCAAATAAACCACACACCTCAAATAACCCACACACCTTTGATAAAACACACACCTCTGATGAACCACACACCTCAAATAAACCACACACCTTTGATGAAACACACACCTCTGATGAAACACACACCTCTGATGAACCACTCACCTCAAATGAACCACGCACCTCTGATGAACCACATACCTCTGATGAACCACACACCTCAAATGAACCACACACCTCTTATGAAACACACATATCAGATGAACCACACACCTAAAATTAACCACACACCTCTGATGAAACAAACCTCTGATGAACCACACACCTCAAATGAACCACACACCTCTGATGAACCACATACCTCTGATGAACCACAAACCTCTGATGAACCACACACCTCAAATGAACCAGACACCTCTGATGAAACACACAAATCTGATGAACCACACACCCCAAATGAACCACACACCTCTGATGAACAAACACCTCTAATGAACCACATATCTCTGATGAAACACACACCCCTGATGAAACACACACCCCAAATGAACCACACACCTGTGATGAACCACATACCTCTGATGAATCACACACCCCAAATGAACCACACACCTCTGACGAAACAAATTTCTGATGAAACACACATATCTGATGAACCACACACCTCAAATGAACCACACACCTCTGATGAACCACACACCTCAAATGAACTTCAAACCTCAAATGAACCACAAACCTCAAATGAACCACAAACCTCAAATGAACCATACACTTCAAATGAATCACACACATCTAATGAACAACACATCCCTGATGAATACATATCTCAAATGAACCACACACCTCTGATGAACCACACATCTTTGATGAATACACATCTCAAATGAACCACACACCTCTGATAAACCATACACCTATGATTAAACACACACCTCAAATGAACTACACACCTCTGATGAACCACACACCTCTCATGAAACACTCACCCCTGATGAACTAAACACCTCAAATGAACCACACACCTCAAATGAACAACACACCTCTGATGAACCACACACCTCAAATGAACAACACACCTTTGATGAACCACACACCTCAAATGAACAATATACCTCAAATGAACCACACACCTCAAATAAACAACACATCTCTGATGAACCACACACCTCAGATGAATCACATACCTTTGATGAACCACACACTTTTGATAAACCACACACCTCTGATGAAAATATCTTGTGATACCTAATTGTACTTTTTAGTTAATGTTACTGCTCTGGAACTCATTAATACAAATGATGGTGATGCCTATATTGCATTTCTGTTATATAACCATCCATTTGAATCTATCTTCTACATTCTTATTCCTAATATTATTATTATCTGTTATCTTTAATTTTGATTGATGTGTCTGTATACTTGTTTATGCACTGTAAGGAGAGGGCTTTCATAGGCTCTGCCTGTTGCCCAATTCCTATTGTCAATACCACCAAGACAATAAAATATTCTGAAATCGAAAAAAACCTCCGATGAAACACACATATCTGATGAAACACACATATCTGATGAAACACACATATCTGATGAACCACACTCCTCAAATGAACCACACACCTAACATGAACAACAAACCTCTGATGAACCACACACCTCTGATGAATACACACCTCAAATGAACCGCACACCTCTGATGAACAAACACCTCTAATGAACCACATATCTCTGATGAAACACACATATCTGATGAACCACACACCTCAAATGAACCACACACCTCAAATGAACCACACACCTCTAATGAACCACACACCTCAAATAAACCACACACCTCTAATGAACCACACACCTCAAATAAACCACACACCTCAAATAAACCACACACCTCTGATGAACCACACACCTCAAATGAACCACACACCTCGATTTTCAACCTGGTGCGGGACAAAGCTCTACCGACTGAGCTGTCGTGTGGCCCTTTCAACGTTTTAATTAGCCTAGTAGGTATTAATAGTAGCTGTAAAACTGATCTCATTGCATTAACTTAATTTTGTCCTTGGTCCTTGCATTCCTTAGTTACATCGGTGTTAGGGATGATGTTATATCCTCTAATATGTCCTCAATTTGTTTCCTTATTGAAAATACGTATTTTGATATGTTTTGTACTTGGCAGAACTATCAAAAGACGTTTTTATTATTGCCAGCCAGAGGCAATAGTCTCATTGCTCATATAAACAATATTACTTAATAAACATTTGAGCGGCTTTATATTAATAAAATACTACGTGAATATCCATTATTCCCATTCCACTTAAGGGCAAATCCGTATTTAGGTCCTAATCAAACAGGTTGATTTGTTTAGAATATGATGGATTCTGAAGATGTTTAGCCGGTTGTAAACTGTAGACAATGTAAGGCTGATTCAGGTTACGTATCTCTTAACAGGTAAAAAAATCGATAATGCCGATAAAGAATTGTACGGGTATCTTTTTGGGGATAAAGCATCACATTTCTTTACTGAATTAGTAACAATATCGTTTTTGTTCGGGTTTAATTTGAACATTTTATGATTTACAATGTACAATTATATGGTTATCAGGCAGGAAGTAATCCTAAAATCATATAGATGGCTCCATTATCTTGATATCATTTGTAATCAATGGCATAGGCCGTAGTCCTAGAAGGACGAAACAGCTGTATGATGGTAGCATTACTGACTGGTCCGAGAAGGACGAAATAGCTCTATGGTGTAGCATTAGTGACGAGTCCTAGAAGGGCGAAACAGCTGAATGACGTAGAATTACTGACGGGCCCTAGACGAACGAAACAACTGCATGGTGTAGCATTACTGACGAGCCCCAGAAGGACGAAACAGCTGTATGATGTAGCATAACTGACGAGTCATTGAAGGTCGAAACATCTGTATGATGTAGCAGCACTGACTAGTCCTAAAAGAACGAAACAGCTGTACGATGTAGCGTCACTGACTAGTCCGGGAAGGACGAAAAGCTGTATGATGTAGCATTCCTTGCGAGTCCTAGGAGGACGAAACAGCTGTATGATGTAGCATTACTGATAAGTCCGAGAACGACGAATTAGCTGTATGATGTAGCATTACTGACGAGTCGTGTAAGAATGAAACAGCTGTATGATGTAGCATCATTGACGAGTACTAGAAGAACGAAACAGTTGTATGATGTAGAATTACTGACTAGTCCTAGAAGGGCGAAACAGCTGTATGGTGTATAATTACTGAATAATCCTAGAAGAGCGAAACAGCTGTATGATGTAGCATTACTGACTAGTCCGAGAAGGATGAAACAGCTGTATGGTGTAGCATTACTGACAAGTCCTTGAAGAACGAAACAGCTGTATGATGTAGCATTATTGACGAGAACTAGAAGGTCAAAACAGTTGTATGATGTAGCAGTACTGACAAGCCCTAGAAGAACGAAACAACTGTATGATGTAGCATTACTGACGAGTCCTGGAAGGGCGAAACAGTTGTATGGTGTAGCATTGCTGACTAGTCATAGAAGGGCGAAACAGCTGTATGATGTATCATTGCTGACGAATCCTAGAAGGACGAAACAGTTACATAAGGTAGCGTCACCCGGGAGTCCTAAAAGGATGAAACAACTGCTATTGACTTTACTGTATCTGTTGAAATTGCAATGAGCTTACACGTATGTTCTTTGTACAATCACAAATCGTCACTATATCTCATGGGATATCGAAAATGTCATGTGCTAAGTTATGGTCATTTTTTTTCCAAATTTTGGTCGGATATCAAAATAATAATATTGATAATTTGCAACACCTTCTCTTGATAAACCATGACATCTTGTCGCACAACTGCACGTTTAATACATTCAGAAGCCGATGCTGTAACAGAGTTATAACAGGACTACACTGAGGTACTGCTATTATAAGTTATATATAGAATATGTTTGAGAATCAAAAATATATTTAATAAATATCAATATTTTATATACTTCAGGGCATGGCTCTACAACATTTGAAAAAAAATCATATCTGATTCTTCCTGATGGACGCTCGAAACATAAACTCAAGTTGATCATTAAGATAATTAATGACATGACTCCTACACACCGTAAAAAGGCATTACTGTTTATGCAGCCGTTTATCCATTAAGGAAGACATGAATTTCAATATTCCAGTATGTAGAACATCAGATTATGTTACTAGTACAATGTGATAGCTATTAAGTTTATACATTTTGATAATTAAACTTTCAATTCTGATTGATCCAATGTACAGTCGCGGGAGGTTTACTGTAGCCTGCATGCCACATTTTTCTATTCCTCTAAGCTGTGTCACAGTTCAGCATATACACGTGTACTTCACCTTGATCTAAAATTATGAGATATATGACTTTTTACGAATTTATTGAACTATGGGGCTAGTACAGCTTCACGTCTAGACTTTGACTTTTCTTTCAGTCACTTTGGATTTCCCTCATTAGCCTCTCCAAGACTTCAAAATTTAAGCCCTTAGAATGAATGACGAGTCCTAAAAGGACGAAAAGCCGTATGATGCAGTTTAATTCATTGTTTTGGTCTACTCTCTATATGTGTATTAATATTGACTGAAACGTAAACAGTTTTGTTATTCAATCTGTGTTTACCTGACATTGGCTTTAGCTGAATTTTGCCAGATGACGGCCGCCAAGATAACATAGTTTCAAATTTCATCAGATATAACAGCGATTGTATTAATTTTCATAAATCAACTTGTTCATTAAAACATGTAAAATCGCTTATTTCAACAACCATTCATATTTCTAAACGAAGACTCATCCTGTCGAATCACCGCACCGCACCGTTTTCCGTCAATGCCAAATACAGCAAATGTATAAGTGGTAGGTGTATTCCGGCAATGGCGGTGCCAGCTGCAGGATAAAATTACGTGTTTCCGGTTTCTGCAAATAAAGTCGTTCGTTTACATATTTACAATGGCCGCCATGACAAGAGTTTCCTTTTGGTAAAGAGATTCCGTATAATAGCGGCGATTATAAATGTTAGTTTATTCTTCCATTAAAGGTCACGAGAGAATGTTTGACATCGGCATATATAGATACACTGTATATATAAAGCCTCTCAGTGAATTTGTTTCAGGATGCTAACATTCCTTGGGATCGCAAAACAAAACATGAGCAAAATCAAAACGGAAGTTTCAAAGCTAGTTTAATAATTCCAATGAATGTAACATTTTTGGTATTTAATGGAAAATGTTTGTATAAAGTGTATCTAATATATATATATATATATATATATATATTGTTTAAGCGGTGAAAAATAGAAAAACGAAGGGTATAATACCAAATGACGTCATATGTACATGACGTACATAAATAACAATTGAAACACGGAAAGAAAATGTTTTCCGGATGAGGCGAAAGTGTTTATATGTGTAACGTATAATGAAACAAACGAATTTGATCTAAAATAGACATCGTGTTTATTAAGTCAGTAATTCGAACGAGTGAGGGAGTAAACAGGAAACAGAAAATATTTTGAAATATGTCATCAGTCATCATAGCAATTGTTTTGTATATCTTATCATACCGTTTCACCTTTTTTCAACGTTTCTAAAATTATATTGCACGAATCATGTTGCGTGGCTCATTAAGCTTATCTAGGGCAGATGCATTTAACCTGCACTTTTCAGTATCACCTAGTTAGAATCTGTAGTCTTTCATCAAAGGAGCACTGTCTCCAATATTCGTGTACATATATGTATATTAACACACTGCTTCATTAACGAAATGTCATATTAATGCTGTTATGTCTTTTGGTTTCTGCTGCAATGAAATTACAATACGCATAAAATCGATAAAACGACCGCAAAGTAACAAATAAAATTAACAGAGAAACTTGGTAACATTTACAAAAACAAAAACAACAACAACAACAAAAACAAAAACAACAACAACAACAACAACAACAACAACAACAACAACAACAACAATCGCATCAAAAGCCTTATTCCAAAGTAGTAGCCTAACAAATTTCAGTTTCCTAAGTGAATGAAATACGTGTTTTAATCATTACCCAACTGTAAATAACACACCATCTTTTCGTGGTTAAGTTAGGACATTGTCTTCGTAATATAAATCTGAGTTGTTATCATTGAACAACATTGTATAGGCCTTTTGCATATGTATGTTTAAGCGTTTTCTAAGACTTCAAACAATGAACTGAATATATGACATCTCGCAGGCGTATTGATACAAGATTGGCTAGTCTTTTAAACGTATACCTCTCACACAAGTTGAGTTAATCAGCGAGGAAGCTTGCATTCAGCTGTCTGCCACTAATGAGCTTTTCAACAACGGGCTGGTATTAAGATTTCCAGTTACACACCATCATGTCAGAGAAACGATCAGTGATTGAGAAGGAAGACACAGACAAGACAATACTGCTCTCTAATTGTGAAGAAGCTTAATATCATCTTACCATATTTTGAAGCCATTAGAACAGACGTATTTACGTCTCGTTTTATTAAAACGGCGAAGACATGTTTTAAGTATCAACAATTTAACCTTTTAGATGTGCAGAACGGTTTGAAAGTCACTTTGAAAATATATTTCCAGGTGATCTGAGAGACACATTCTACAGCGATTCCTGCTGCTCCTTGTTGGATAAATATCGAAACGTTTGGTTTTATATCGGAACTCGTAATAGGACATACATTGTATCTGGTGATTGTGTTTCTAAAATTCGATAGAGATGGCTATGAATGCTTTAAACATCAGCGTAACAAACGATACAACTATACCTGACGAAAGACTTGCAGTAGTTCTTTCGGTAATATTTGTCTTCATTCCTGGCTGTCTTTTAAACATTATCGCCATCTTCATCATCGTGAAGGATTTTAAAACATTACAGACACCAACGAATACATTACTGTTTCTACTAATTTTATTCGATCTAATAGCTTTGTTTAACTCCTATATGTGGTTAGTTATTGATAAAAACTATTCTATTCCTGCTCTAACATGCCAGATAAAGAAAATTATCAATCCACTTTTTCTATTCTACACCGGAATACTAAGTCTGGTCCTTGCCATTGACAGATATATTGCATTGAACTTTGCGTTCTTCTATCGTACAAGAATAAGCTTTAAGCTTTGGCTCTATGTTGCTTTTGCTGCTCTTCTTTTTAGCTTGTTTATTGGATCGTTACCTCTGATGGGATATGGCTCAAGTTATGAAGATTTTTCAAACCATCGTCTTCAATCTTGTGGCAGTTTTGATTACGAAAAGGACCCGTTAAAGAGAGTTTTTGGAATAACACAGCCATCCATTGGGCTGATTGTAATTATTTGTATTGTCATCTTCAATACTCTTACAATTCGAACAGTGCTACAAATGAAAATGCGCATCCGTGCCCAAGAACTACAAATGGGTCAAGGACATCTCCCTTCCCACGAAATACTATTTGCTAACCTGGTTACAGTCATGACTTTAGGGTTCATCGTGTGCTGGACGCCGTTCAATGTAAGTGACTTTACTTTTCAGTTCACAGCTGCAAACAATTAAAAAGATAGTAGAAATAACATATTTTAACAATGCTCATTCAACAAACCTCTAAGATCATAACATGTTAGACAAATTGTTTAGTATTTAACGGAATAGATTTTTTTTTTATTTTCAACGACAACAGCAAACAAGATGAGTGGGGAAAACAACTACTACAACAACTACAACAACAATTTTAACAACTACAACATTAACAGCTTAAACAACAATATTAACAACTACAACATCAACAACAGCATCAACAACTACAACAGCTACAACAACAACATTAACAATTACAACAACAATTTTAACAACTACATCATCAACAACTACTACAACAATTTAACAACCACAACAGCAAACAAGATGAGTGGGGAAAACAACTACTACAACAACTACAACAACAATTTCAACAACTATAACGACAGTTTTAACAACTACAACATCAACATTAACAACTAAAACAACAATTTTAACAACTACAACATTAACAGCTTAAACAACAATATTAACAACTACAACATCAACAACAGCATCAACAACTACAACAGCTACAACAACAACATTAACAATTACAACAACAACAACAACTACATTCAACAACTACTACAACAATTTCAACAACTAGTGGGGAAAACATCAACAACAATTTCAACAACTATAACGACAGTTTTAACAACTACAACTACAACATTAACAGCTTAAACAACAATATTAACAACTACAACATCAACAACAGCATCAACATTTACGACAGCTACAACAACAACATTAACAATTACAACAACAATTTCAACAACTACATCATCAACAACTACTACAACAATTTAACAACCACAACAGCAAACAAGATGAGTGGGGAAAACAACTACTACAACAACTACAACAACAATTTCAACAACTATAACGACAGTTTTAACAACTACAACATCAACATTAACAACTAAAACAACAATTTTAACAACTACAACATTAACAGCTTAAACAACAATATTAACAACTACAACATCAACAACAGCATCAACAACTACGACAGCTACAACAACAACATTAACAATTACAACAACAATTTCAACAACTACATCATCAACAACTACTACAACAATTTTAACTCACACGTGAGATACTGCCATCACTGCCATGGAGAAATCTTCTTACAGGAAATTATATAATTTAATATAACACAATATGATATAATATGTAATTTAACATCTCATAATATAATATTGCCGATCGCTTCATTTGTTTTTCTGTTCAATCTGAGAAATCTTCTTACAGTATGAAATATAGTTTAATATAATATAATGTAATATAATATAATTGTTCGAATTTTTATCAAATTCTGCTTATTCTAACTGTGATATTATCTTGACGTCGTCTTGAAATTAAACTAATTTTTTTAACTAAATCATACATGCCTTTATAAATATTGCAATGAAATGTTTCATTAATATTAGCATGATATAATGAAATGTGGAATAGGTTTGTATTTCTATTAAATATTAGTGTTAGTAGAAAGGGTAAATGAGTTTGATATTATTAGAACCAAGCAATATATTTTGCCTTTAAAGGTTTTCATGATTTTGAAATAGCAGCGAAAAGTGACCACAAGAAACCGATACAAATTCTGTTAAAGACAAAGAAAAATCTGCCATATGAAAAGAATCTTCATTTAATGTCCAAATCGATCAAATTAGGACAATATACGAATAAAAAAGGTTTTTAGTTTCATTTATAAATCTATCACAGTCATTGAAATAAATGCATGTGTATGTATCATGCATAAAATCTATTTTTATTATTTCAAAAATTCAATTCATTTATTTATCTTTCTTTTGTCTTTGTATATTTATTTATTCATTTATTTGTAGATATAAGGTTATTCTTTTGAAAGCCATTCTATTGATTTTAGAGACTGTTGATTTAGTATCATATGTAGGACATTGGTTTGGTGATCAAAAGGTTCCGCTTCTGACACAAACGCCGTTTTGTGTCATCGAGCAAAACAATATATACTTTACTGTATATTATAACAGAGTTGATAGCTACTGGATGTGTTAAAATGGCAGCTTCGACTATATACTTCTCATGGAATTGAGAAAAATCATGGCCAGTAGCAATAACCACGGATGATTACTTGTAAACCTCTATTAGATGGATATGTTGCTGTGATAATGGGACATATAAAAGGTCGATTTTTAATCATATACTTGGTTTGCTTCACGGCACAATACAATACATACTAAATTATATTTGCTTTAATGAGTTTCGTATTTCAATACCTGATCATTATTTAAATCAAACTATTGATCAAAATGACGATTGTGTTTAGTCTGTGCACGTCCCTCCATTTCATTCTATAATGAGGAAACAAATTAAGCGCATCTTTTTATTTTTCTCGCATCTCTTCTAAGGTTTCAACATCAGCAACATTGGCAACATTAAAGCTTTGAAAAAATGAAATTGTTTCATGCTTTGTTTTTTTGTTTTTCCCCCACCTTTTTTCTTTATTTCCCCAAATCTTTTATTTTGTAATGCTCTTTCTACATGCTCGTTCACAACAACAATGAATAATTAATCCATTCTTAAATTTTGTTCATTGAACATTGTACAGGATCAACACAAAAAACAGGAAACAAATGAAACATGATTAAATGGCACATTTAATTCTGATATAGAAAATGAAAAAGAAAACTGAATTGTATTTTAAAATATTTTTCTCTACCATATTTTGTTTGTGCCAAACAAATGTGAAAAAATATATTTTTTCCAATGTTGATTTCAGATTATGAACATTCTGGAATCCACTGGCCAACTGCTATCCCCATCGTTAAAGGCATTGATGCATTCGATAACAGGTCTGAGTTTCTGCATTGACCCATTGCTGTATGTATGGATACGAAAGTCTGTCAGGAAGAAGGTGGTCGCTGCCTTTCGTAATTGCATTAGATGCAAGCATTCTTCCGACCCTAATCTCAGATAAGTTTTAAGTAAACAGAGCTGGACCGTTAAGTGTGTCACAATTGATGTTTATTTGACAGGAAATTCCGCATATCATTGATAGAAAACGATTATCTTCAAGATCCAAGGTCAACTTGTATTTATGCAAAATGGATAGGCAACTATATATAATATTGTGTCGTAGATAGTTTAGGTTGAAATGTTTGCTTCATAAAAGAATAGGTATAGTGCATGAACGCATTGTACAATATAGAGGGATTGGCTCTTCCTCGTCTAAAAGAACTTTGTTACTGAAAAATTATTTGCTTTTGTGGGGATATATTTTCGTTAACTTTTGGGTAATCTAAATTCACAAATGTATATATTCAAATAGATAAACGATGACATGAATTATAGTACTATGTTCTTGTGAATTTTAGGTTCATTTATCCATAAAATCAAGTGCCAAAAAAATACATATTATTGAAAATCCAAGAATTTAAGCACCACGAAAATAGATGGTTTTACAGTGCGTTGTTGTTTGTTTCACACAGACATGTGTTTGTTTTTCGTCTGTTTGAGTGTCTTCACTTATATTGCATTTAAGGCAATATTCGCATGTTGTTCCTTTCAGTCTTCTTTCAGTGTTCTTAGACAGGGTAAAAAGTATGTTTCTTACAATTATTGTAACGCACAATGTATACATCGTCCGCACACACGCTATACAGTATCTAGCGCACAAATGTGATATACGTTTGCACATTTTGTGCAGTTCAGTAAAATGATTTACTAATGATACGGATTGAAGATAAAACCAAAAGTTAGTGTAGATATGACTTAACATTGATAAGTGAATATAAAAGCTATTTTAATTAGATAGTTTTCAAAATAACACTGGAACCTGCGTAAATTAGTCGATCTAATGTATTGTTTCATACCGCAGAAAGCGCCGAGTGGTGTGTCTCGAGCAACATAAATTACCTGTTCTCGGAACATTGACAAATGAGATATTATAAATGACTCATAACCGTGACAAAAGGGCATCCATTTATTTAATGTGTTACATATATAAGTAATCAATATCTATACAAGTAAAAACTATTCAGTTGGATAGATTTATGTGTCTAATCTTTAGCTATATGGTTTATTTAAGATAGATACTTAGCTGCATTCTTATATTTAGAAAATAAATAAGCAATATCCATCACGTATCTTTAAGTAATTTCTAAATTTATATCAACCACGATAGGATCGCACACCTTTCCGAAAGGCAACTTTGTCAGGTTTTCACCTCGTGTAATGTTTTGCGATCCCACAACTGGAATTTCTTGTTTTTTATTGTTGTTTTATTCGCAATGTTGTTATCAAAATAATGTTCAGTACATGCGATTTTGTCGTGCTAAAAAATTGGAAACACATTTTAATGTCTATCATTTCCTTGAAATAATGATATAATGCCGAATCGGCACTCGTGTACTATAATGGGTGTTTACAATTCCAGACCTTCCAGGTTTTGTGGCGTGACCTGTGTTTCCCCAATGGCCCAATGGGATAAACATTGTATGTATCTATTGTCATCAGTTTGTACTTTCAAATGGTGGACGTGGATGATATAATTATTATCAAAATTTGACACCTGGACATGGTTCACGTCATCACCAAATAGCTGAAAATCATGCATGCGCAATATAACATTCAATCAGGAAGATTTTCCCTATCATCTAACAGTGAGATTGTCTACCATTTTGACAGAATAAAAGTTACGTTTGTCGTTGATTGTGTTGTTACGAAATATTTTGCTTTTGCAGATTCAACAACAGGAAACAATTTAGTAGGTTAATCTTTCTATTAATGTACTTGCGGATGACTGGATTATTGAAATGCAATTTTCCTTTCTTACTGTCTAGATTATATTCTGTTATCTCATATATATACACCCGCCATGTAAATCTTCCAAGTAAGTAATGTCACGTTCTAAAATCAGAACAAAATATACAACAACGGGGCATCAAACAAGTAAACAATGAATAAATAATAATGATAATGATAATGAATCAAAACAAACATGAGATTTTGAAACAAAATGGATAATTAAGAGAATTTCCTTGTTAATTGTATAATAGTTATCATATATGTTATACATAATATATAACACATATTATGATATATCTTATGAGTAATGGTTATGCGATAAAATGCATTTAATTGTATCAGTGCAAATTATCTTTAATCATATCAGCATCGAAGATTTCATGTCTACAAACCAAGGAGCAGTGGAGTCAAATTTCAGTATTACTAGTAGTAACATAAATATTACACATTTTTAGACACATTTTACGTACAATGCACTTTAAAATAAGTAAAATAAGCCAAGCCATAAAATATGATGGTCGTATTTCATCAGATCTCAATTGATATATAGTTGTTTATTTCTATTCCTTCATGTAACATGCTTGATTTATTCTGACATATAAAAGGTCAGAAACAATGACAAGCAATTCAGATAATGTATGTACTTCAGATTTTGTGAAACAAGCGTTCGATTTTTTAAAATATATTTTTGGGAGCTTTGGAGTGTAATCTACTCCAGGGTATATCACATATATGCCAAAATATAACACGAGTGAATTCACTGGATAACAGGCCGATTTATCAAGTAACTATGGTATCTTAAATGGATTTTTTCCTTCAAGTTCGGTTTATACAATATTTTTTTAAAAAGTCACGTTTTGTTTGTTTTGTATGTATATTTATTTCTTTGTTCAGTATTTTTTGTGAAATTCTTATTAGAAATCAAGTAAAAAAAAAGAAATTTTGTGAAGTCTTAGTTTATAATAATTCACATATTACATACAATATTATCAGATACGAATATGAACTGCAGTAGCTGTTGAAGACGTGAAACAATACAAAAGCTCTTTATTATATTTGTATTTCATAATTCGATATTATGTCATTTTGAATATATATACATAAAGCTCACTGACATGTTAAAGCCATTTGCAGAATTAAAGCATCACAGATGATATTTCCAAAATTAGGAAACTAAATCGAATCAAAGAATTTAAATAATTTCACCCCGCCATGTAACAAAGTTTATGTTTTCAAGAAAATAAAATTTTGTTCTTCATGAAGATGACAAAATGGTAAGAAATTGGTTGGGAAGCATTTTTTATTTAATTAAATTAAACACGTTGATTGATACCTTGGAATAAAGAAACATATACCTCAAAATCAAGTTATTTAACAAAATGTGATTAAATTGTTTGAGAGATATCCATTTTTGTATATTTCTGAATGAAGCAAGACCACATCTATCATTGAATATGGTATATTGACGAACAATACGTACATATAGTAGGAAGGATTTCTCCTTGTTTTTCGATATTTCGATCGGGCATGAAAATCGTGTAATTATGCTCTGCCGACCATGTGGGTTGCTTCTGGTTGGCAGGTTTCCGTCTGCTATATGATACGTGTTCGCTTCTATGTGGACAAATAAAGAAAAACATTTATTTATTATTCAAGTTGGTACATATGTAGAGAATACTCAACGTAACTACAGTAATAACTAATACATTTCACGAAAGATTTTTTTTATATTAAAGCTTAACGATGTATTTAGATACACTAAATTATCATTAAAGATTGCGCAATTACAAAATAATAGTCACCTAGGTTAATTATATTCATCATATCTGAAAACATTGTTAATTATTCTATTTTTTTTTTCAATTCGATATGTTGCTATATTTCATTAGGGAAAATGTGACAAAATTGCTTCATACTAATTATATAATTGGGCAAATTACGGTCTAATTCTGAGGGTTCCCTATCACGAAAATAGCCTGCTACATACTTGTTAAAAATGATTTGATTAATCTATAAGCTAATATAGAGTTTTCCACCCACAAGTATAGTAAGATGCGATCGATGTTATTGTTGTTTATGTTTCAGTCAGATTTCATGATTTTTACACAACTGCTCTAATTACAAACAATTGACATATATGCGATTTTCTTGCAATAACTGAGTTCACATGGCATATGTGACTATTATTGATCTGACAAGAGGGGTTATTGTATAAATGCTAATTTTCTTGTTGAAGAAATGAAAACGTCCAGAATTACCTTCAACAATTCTTGCAATTGCCAATCAAATCATTGGGCCCGAAACAACGTCTTCTTTACTGAACTGTATAATTCCCAGTGGTACAGTGGAGCCCATCCTTTTATTGAGATCTGAAAATTAATGTAATGCATTGAACTTGTATCAAAACATAGATAAATAAACCACACAAAACAACATCATGATAGAATCATGTGTCATGATTTAATGCAATCTGACATCCAAGTGAAATACCCAGACATTGCTTACAATTATAAAATTCAGATATGCATGAACCTGGATAGTAAACACAACAAATCGCCGTGTTAACGATACCAAGACCAAATTTTCCATTATCCACATACACCAACTATCCATTACTACGTTGTCAGCACCATGGAAACAAAAAGGCATCATCGATTATATTAAGACAATGATAGATCTCAGTATGCCATGTTAAATGTCTGTCTATGAAGGAAAAAGTGTCACGAAATACGATTTTACTTCACGAGTTTTATGATACTCTTAACCAAAAGCTATAAAAACAAATAATATGTGGTACCATCCATATTATAAAATGTAAGAAACAAAAACTCCCATACAGGTTTGATCACACGCAAAGCGCAAAGAGGATTTGTTACACTCAGACCAAGGGGGATATTTGTGCAAGCGTGCAAGCAACGACACACTGGTTGAATTCGACGTATGTGTTGATTGCAAGAGAAAAGTAACTAAAAACCCAAACGTACAAAGTACAATGAGATAGATGAAAAGTTTGCATATATTTTATGATTATCTTGTGTAAAACACAACGGATCAAAACTGTAAATGAAGACAGATGATGTATACATATAAAAATACAAAAAATAAATCAAATATGCAACATAATCAAATATAGTGTATTGATATATTAATATTAATAAATATTTATCATAC